TCCCGCATACATCGGCAAATATAGTGTTTTGTGCCTGCGAAGTGCACGACAACGCGTCACATATGCACTACGCGCGTACTACTACTACTACTACTACTACTACTACTACTACTATTACTACTACACTACTACTACTACTACTACTACTACTACTACTACTACTACTACTATTACTACTACTACTACTACTACTACTACTACTACGGATAAAGTACTAGTACTAGTGCTCGTACTACTACGACGACGAGTACTACTGTGACTCCGACGACTGCCTACTGATGCTAAATACTACGACTGCTGCGACGACGACGGCGAAAACGACCACGACGAAAACGACAACGACCACGAAGACCACTTCGACTATGACGACTACGTCTGTATGTACATACAAACTTATATACATATATGTATATGCACACATGCATATATTCATAACACGCACACATATAATATGTACTTATGTGTGTCGGGGTTTTAAATATACTATGAGGATACACAGGTGGGGCAGGTAGGGATCGTATGGATGTAGGGTGCTGGACCCTCAGCTGTCGTCCTCAGGGGCAAGCACGGCTATGTCAACCTGGTCCTGCCGCTGTTCAGAAGTGAAACGGTTTGCCCCGGTAGCATTGGATACGGGCCGACTGTTTGATTTTCTTCTCCATTTTGGTTTTGTGAGCGGAGCTTTAAACCGGATTCTTCATGGCTTCGTGGGACTGTGGGAGCCAGGAAGGTATTTTCGGTGTGTGTGTGTGTGTCTGTGTGTGTCTCTCTCTCTGTGTGTCTGTCTCTGTGTGTGTGTGTGTGGGTTTGTGTGTNNGGTAATTATTGAGGCCCCTACATTTATGTTTGTTCCTCCGTGTTTTTCGCTGAAGAAGTCGAAGGTGGAGGGTTGCTTCCGCTCAGGAGGCAAAAGAAGGCCCGCGGTGTAGATTCCCAGACCCGACCCTACACACTGAACCTTAAGTTCAGTGTGTTTTAGGTCATGAGCGCATAAAGGGAGCGGGACAAGGCAGGGTTTAGACAAGAGTGCAAGAGATTGAACTCGAAGTCTTTGCTAATAGGTCCCTGCTCTAAATACAAAGGCCTCACACCGTCCCTGAAACACCGCGAAACTCTCGAAGCCCTGACCCTAAACCCAAAAGCCTACAGTAACCTCTCCCTAGCTCCTTTCAAAGCAGGGTTAAGGGTCTAAGGCTTAGGCTTTAGGGTTTAGG